GGGGGGGGGGGGGGGGGGGGGGGGGATCAACTAAACGAACTCTTCGAGAACAAAGAACTAAATTACAGCAGATAATTGCTCCAATCATCTGATACCCCTAAGAACTTGTATGATTTAACCCACCACCAAAAAAAGCAACAAAATCAAGTCTTATGTAAACACTCAAAACAGGTAAGTGGATAACCATGTGCCCAATCACTTCACAAGCAATAAACTTGGAAGTGCACTAAAGGCTATAATATAAGCGAATTAACAACCATGATATGAACTGAATTGCATAAGCTAATTCGAATATAATCAAGCGAGAGCTACAAATTTGTATCCTGCCTGCATACACCAACAGATATTCACTTTTTCACAGTTCCCTGAGCTCAGGTTCTAAGATTGATAAATCACAATATAAGAGGAAACCATTTACCTTATTCCAAAAGAAATCAACATCAGAATCAGACAGAAAAAATTGTATTATGAACTATACAACCTCTACTCACTCATAGCCTAAAAAGTTCATGTACATTTATGCCTACATGAATTCCTCTTTCTTTATAGATTCAAAACACTTCTAAACATGGGCTTAAGTCGTATTAAGGCAAGTACCGATTACAGCAGTAGAAAACTACTCATATGGCGACTCTGCAGCTCCTTGATTCACCCAACAGCTTACCGGAAGCGCTGCTATTCGACAACGACAGGCCAACCGACAGGTCCTCGCACAGAACCCTGAGCAACCGCCTCCTGGCCCTCCACCAACCAGCTCGAAACCCGACCCGAGCTGATAGCCCCACATCGAATTTGACGGCCCCTCGTCGGCGGTCATCGTTAATGTCATTCACAGACGAGGCATCGATGTAGGCATTGAGTGAGGAGAAAGAGGCATTAACGACCGTGTGGGTCCTCTTATCCTGAATGAATGGAGGGACTCGGGTTTCGGAAAGGATCTGATTTTTGTAGAAAACGGTGGAGTCAACAAAGTCGTATGAGATACTCATCTTCTTGTTAGGATTGAAGACGGAAAAACCAACGAACCAGGCGGCGGAGAGGGACTGAGAAGCAGCGGAGAAGTTGGTTACCTGAAAGGAATCGACGCGAAACTCAGGGAGTTGAGGGCGGAGAACGAGCCAGATAATGAAAAGAATGACGGCGGTGATGATGAAGATGACAATGATTCCAGCAATAATGGCTCGAAGAAAGGAGATACGAGCATTTTGATGGGTAGAATCGTAGGGGTTAGCGTAGTGAGAGGGATAGGAATAAGGAGGAGCAGCATAGGGATAAGCTTGATCGTGAGGCTGAGAATTGGAGGGTGGCAGGTGGCCGTTGGGGTAAGCCGGGTAGCCGGTGACGGGTCTGGAAGAATCTGCCATGGCGGATCCGATGGATCCGATCTTCTGCAGAGAGCAGAAGAGTGGGGATGAAGAATTAAGAATTAAGAATTAAGAACGTGAAAGAGGTTGAAGAAGATGAAGATGGAAGTGTAGCAATAGGGTTCGAAGGCTGTGGGAAGGGAAGTCTTCGCAATTAAGCCACAATTTCCTGCCTTTTCTTCATTTTATACCAAAAAGCTGCCACCACCGCTAAACACAGTCAAGATAAAATACTATCATTTATTGTCAAATAAAGGTAAATGTCATTGTTTTTTCTTCATAAAAAAAAGTATATATAATATTCTCGATCACATTCGTTACTCTCTTCAATCGATGTGAGATCTCACAAAGAAAATCCATGGACCAACCCCATTGTCTCCACCCTGTAGAAACTACGAGATCACCCCAAGGACGCCTTCGATATCCAGGGGAACACATTAGCTGTCCGCTATCTAGTTGGGCAGAAAAGGTCGAAGAAGGGCAATCACTCATCGTCCTAGTTCTCCTGAATCCTCAGAAACTACAAGAATTGCACTTTTTGTTAATCTGTACTGTCACTATGTACAATATGAGATGACACTGTTCTATAATACAAATAACACTCCCATCTGCAGATTCATGAACTTCTGGCATTGTCTTCCATCTTCATTCCTTTCAGACTCTTTGCTAGCCAGATCGCTGTCTCTCTCGGAGAAACCTTGTCCTTTCCAAAAGGCTTCAAGACAACTCCTAGCTCCTCCAACCTGTTGTGTTGCAGCAGCTCTGCAGATAATTCGAGCAGCTCTTCAAGTGCCTCAGCCCTCTGCCTAAAAGATTTCACATCCAAAGTTTCTCTTGCTGCCACTTCCTCTTCAACAGGCTTTGTATGCTCAGAAGAATCTGAGTTCTTTGTTGGTACTGTCGGAGGGCTTCCTCCATCCATTTCTTTGTCGCTCGAGTGATCCTCCAAGTTTTCTGTCAATGCCTGCTCGCTTCCGACTCGGAAACTACTATGTCGTATTACGTGTATGACATCGTCAAACGCTGCAGGAAGATGGCTACTGGCTAGCTTTTCGGACGGGGGATTGTTCAAACTGGTTACTTCATCGGACAGCGAGCACTCGTGAGTTGGTTTGTCATCAACCCCCCCAGGGTTTCCCTTCTCATACTGCAAAGAAGATGAGCAGCTAGGTGGGTGTGTTTCTTCAAGTTCGTCATGTTCGATACTTTGATGGTCTAAAACTAGCTCAGGTATATCAGTAAATGGAGTTGCTGCATCGTCACAAATTTCAAATCCTTGAATTGACACTGAAGATGAAACAGAATTGCTACTATCTGTTTGCATTCCTTTAGAAAAAGGTTCTGAAGTGGTGTGTTGCGTCTCCTTTTGATGAATCCTTTCTGTGGAACTTACTGCATCTGGAACGTTGATCTCGGCTTGCCTCGTTCTTGCTGGAAATGTCGGTCGTCGGAGCACGGTAGGAGGGGTTCTTTGCCTCGACTTTGAAGAAAGTCCATCATCCACTGGTTTTACAGGATGGAAAAGAGGGGGATAATTATCATATCTCTGTTTAGTCTTGGGTGTGGGATCAACCATTGGTAGCTATAACAACAAAACAAAACGGGTATTAATGACTAAAACTATAGATAATAAACCCAGATAAACGAACGTTATGTAACGGCCCACCCAAGGCCTCCGCTAGTCTTCTTTGGGTTTTCCCTTTCAGGTTTCCCCTCAAGATTTTAAAATGCGTCCACTAGGGAAAGGTTTCTGCGACCTTATAAAGAATGCTTCGTTCACATCTCCAACCGATGTGGGATCTCACAATCCACCCCCTTAGGGACCCAACGTTCTCGCTTGCACACCATCCGGTGTCTGGCTCTAATACCATTTGTAACAGCCAAAGGCCAGCCACCGCTAGCAAATATTGCCCTCTTTGCGCTTTCCCTTTCGAGCTCCCCTCAATGTTTTAAAACGCGTCCACTAAGGAGAGGTTTCTACACCCTTATAAGGAATGCTTCGTTCACCTCTCCAACCGATGTGGGATCTCACAATCCACCCCCTTGGGGACCCAACGTCCTTACTAGCACACTGTCGGGTGTCTGGCTCTGGTACTATTTATAATGACCCAAGGCCACCACTAGCAGATATTGTCCTCTTTGGGTTTTCTCTTTTGGGCTTCTCCTCAAAGTTTTAAAACGCGTCCACTCGGGAGAGGTTTCCACACTCTTGAAAAGAATACTCTGTTCCCCTCTCCAACCGATATGGGATCTCACACGTAAGTTGTTCTACCTGATGCTTTGGAGTAGCTACAGCCTGGATTCTTCTTGAGGATTCAATATTTGCCTTTGCAGGCACAGTTGTAGGTGTATCTGCATTAGACTTGGAACCAGGCACTGCCACTGGAGGTTTGATGACTTTAGGTGGCACTTCAGCATGTGCTTTCTGGTTTGATGCAACTCCAGACTTTACACAGATACCTGGAACAGGCGAATAATTTTCCCGAGCTTTTCCTTCTTTCAAAGCTAGCATTATATTTCTTATAGTCTTTGGTCGTCTTGATTCGGTATGAGATTGATGGTCTGCTTGAGCGGGTTTGGAATGCATCGGATCATTTACTTTGAGAGAGCACGTATTATGAGTTTGTTCTTCTTCACTAGGAACGAGGAGCTCGGGTCCATCGTGATCATCAACAGATGCCTTATCATTATCAGTGACTCTATCATCACAGTTCGATGCCATGGCAGGAGCATTTTTATCACTCGAAATCAAACTGTCTCTATCACTGTTTGAACTGTTGCTATTTTGACTCTCTGCCATACTCCTCCGAGAATCACGAGTTGTTCTACGCTTATCGGGCAAAGAATCCACAGGAGTGATGGAAGGACGATATTGTTCAACATAAGGTTGCAAATATGGGTGCTTTAAAAGCTCAGAAGCCTGAACAATTGAGGAGTAAAATAGAAAACATCAAATCCTGCTGGAACAAAATGTTTAGTCATGGCAAAATGTTAAAATGGAGAAAAGCTAACATTTGGTCTATGCTCCGGGTTCTTTCGTAGCATGCCCTTAATAAGTGTTTTTCTGCATGTAGAGAGCAAGGGTGTCAGCAATTGCACAATGAATCAAGAACAAAAATGTGTTTGCGTTTGCTAGCCAGCAGTTTACGTCATAATCTGTAACAGTCCAAGCCTACCGCTAGTATATATTGTATGTTTTGACCCATTACGTACCTCTGCCAACCTCATGGTTTTAAAACGTATCTGCTAGGGAGAGGCTTCCACACTCTTATAAAGAATGTTTCATTCGCATCTCCAACCAATGTGGGATCCACCCCCCTGGGGCCTAGCGTCCTCACTGGCACACCACCCGGTGTCTGGCTCTGATACCATTTGTAACATCTCAAACTCATCGCTAGCAGATATTATCCTTTTTGGCTTTCCCTTTCGAGCTTCCCTTCAAGATTTTTAAAATGTGTCGGTACGAAAAAGTTTTCACACCCTTATAAGTAATGCTTTGTTTCCATCTCCAACCGATGTGGTATCAGAGCCAGACATTGGCACACTAGGCACCAAGAGGGGTGGATTGTGAGATCTCACATCGGTTGGAGAAAAGAACAAAGCATTCCTTATGTAAGGGTATGGAAACCTCTTCCTAACAGACGTGCTTTAAAATCGTGAGGTTAGCGGCGATATGTAACGGGCCAAAGCGAACAATATCTACCGTGGTGGGCTTGAGATATTACAAATAGTATCAGAACCAAACACTAGGTTGTATGCCAGCGATGACGTTAGACCCCCAAGGGGAGTGGATTGTGAAATCCCACATCAGTTGGAGATGGGAACGAAGCATTTCTTATAAGGATATAGAAACCTACCCTAGCCGACGCGTTTTAAAAACCTTGAAAGAAAGCTCGAAAGGAAAAGTCCAAAGAGGAAAGCAATAAACTTAAATGAAAAGTTTAGACTTACAGGGATGGTGAATAGCAGGAGGGCAAGGGACCAATGGATGAACGATTAATCTTGCTAATGAGTCCTGCCATGTCCTGAAAACAATGATCCGTGCCAAATCAATTCAAAGATCAATGTAGTCTAAGCATCATATGCAGAAAATGAGACATAAAAGCCCAGAACTTAAAGTGGAACTGCACTAAATCTTACAAAAGCTTTAAAAGCTGGGCGACGCGCAGCCATCTCATACATACAACAACCTGGGGAAAGAAGAACTTAGAGATGGAAAAACTAAAGCCAAAAGCATTGGAGGGTGTTTGCAGAATGCATACCAAGAGACCAAATATCAGATTTGAAGCCATAAGGGATATCAGCTAGAAGTTCAGGACACATATAATTGGGAGTTCCAACCACCTAAGCACAAATGCACAGAACGAACACAACCATTATCTAACAAATTACAAATAGAGTTCCAACCAAAATACAAAGCAATTCAAGTATCTAGGCCATACCGAAGAAGCCAAGTCGTCTGCTTTCAGTGTCTTGGCAAGTCCAAAATCCCCTGCATTAACGACATGCCAAGAACAAAGAAAGTCACCAGGACAGCTCAAAAGTTCATCCTAAATAGACTGTAATGAACACTAAAGACAGTTGTAGATCAACCCACCAAGACGAACATCTCGATCCTTGGTGAGAAAGATGTTGGAACACTGCCAAGAACGGTCGACTTCAATCTTAAAATTAGATAAAACTAACACAAACATTATACGATTCAACAGTCAAACGCATACTTTAAGGTCCCGATGTAGAACAAAGTTTGAATGCAGGTACTCAACCGCCAACAAAAGCTGTGTAAACCACTTGCATAGTTTCTGTTCAACAATAAAAACACGAGCACCCAACAACCCAGTTTAACTTTCTTCATGTTCTATGTTATCAAGAATTCAAATATGAAAAAGAAAAGCACCTCTTCAGGAAAGTGCAACCCATTTGACTTTTTCATTAGCTCTGCCCTGTTATAGGAAAGTAAATTATCTATAAAATGATTCAATATACCGCTCAAACCCATCATTAGTAGATATTGTTGGTTTTGGCCCGTTAGATATCGCCGTCAGCCTCACAGTTTTAACGTTTGTTAGGGAGAGGTTTCCTCACCCTTATAAACAATGTTTCATTCCACTCTCCAGAGTGGTGTGCCCCCAAGGGGGTGAATCGTGAGATCCCACGTCAATTGGAGAGGGGAACGAAGCATTCCTTATATGGGTGTGGAAACCTCTCCCTAGTAGACGTGTTTTAAAACCATGACACTAACGGCAATACGTAACAGGCCAAAGCGAACAATACCCGCTAGTACACTTGGGCTATTGCAAGTTATTAATCATTGATGGAGCAAATTTCCAAAGAAAAAGCAACTCACATATCTCCACCTTCACAGTATCCAGTCACAATACAAACGTAGCAGCCCTACATTTAGAAATTTAAGAACTATAAACAACCTTAGAGAAATGAATAAGATTGAAGAAATTAACACTAACCTTCTCAACCCAAGCTTCTTTAAACTCAACTATATAAGGATGTTGAACTCTGGCTATCAGCGCCATCTACCATACATGAACTTGTTAATCAAACTGGAAAACGAAGCGATGAAGTTGGTATTAGAAAATGTTAATCAAACCTCTTGATGAGCAGATCTTCGACATCGCTCGGTCTGCCGCGCGAGCCTGATCTTCTTCAATACGTACCTAAAGATCGCAAGAACCAAATCAAACAACAACGAAATAGAAATCAAAGAACAAGAAGAAGAGAGACGAACTTCTTCTTTTCGGATTTGTGATAAACAAGAATGGCGGCTCCAAAAGCCCCACGCCCGATCTGCTCCATTATCTCGTAATGATCCATACGAGATTCCATACCCTAAAATCTCCTCAACCCGAGTGATTAAATAAACCCAATTCGAGAATCAATCGAAACCCCCAAGCGATTTTCAGATCTTGAACTGCTCCACTAAAGGCTAACGCTAAATCATCAAGTGAATGAAGCAATTACTGAGAGTTAGGGGAAATCAAAAGGCGAGTCCCAAAAAGAGATCAAAATCATTCAGCGATTAAACATTCTGGGTGGATTCTTACTTTCCCCGCCAAATGCGATTTCTGACTGACCAGTCCCTTCAAAAGTTTTAATTATGAAATTATTTAAGAAAAATACAGAATCTGTTCTAGTTAACATTTCAAGCCAGCCAGCCAGCCAGCTTATATTTTCCTTAATTTTTTAAAAAAGCTCAGTAAATAATTAAAAATCCTGAAAAAAACCAAATAATTAAAAAAAAAAAAAACGGAGGAAAAAAAGGATGAATCTTTTGAAAATGGATGTACGTAACGGTCTCGGATAACGCATCTTCCTTTGCCGACACAATATTTGATTCCATCTCTTTATCCATTATTATCGGATAATGTCTTTCCAATTATTTATTTTAACTAAAAATTAATTTTTATCTTTATATTTCATTTAAAAAATTAACGATGTAACGTTAATAAATTTAATAATCTGGTTTAAATTAATTAATTATACGGATTTCAAGTTTGTGAAATTACCTTTTTACCCTTATATTTTATTTTAGTCTAGCCTCTTTTGGGCCCCCAACCCAATAACCCGGTACAAATTAATTGGGCCCAATAGAAGGAAGGCCGGTTCGTGGGCTTCACCCAGGTTGTCGGCTAAAAACATTAAATACATTAATCTCCTCTATTATTAAAAATGCATCTACTTTATTTATTTCAAATCATTATCTTACGAATTTATTCGGGTCATATGAATTCCACTCATTTATACTTTTATTACGAATCGTAATCATTTCTAATCATATATTATCCGAACGCCCATAATTTTTTTTAATTAATTTTAATTTTTCATCTCTCGAGCGTATAGTTTTGACGGGGTACGATAATTTTGGTGTTGGTAAAAAAAGTAATTAACTTTATTAAGATTCTCAAATCATCTTTATTAAAGTGGATTTGTATGCTTATGATCCAGTTTTAAAACCTCTAATCAACAGGTTAAGCTGTCGTTTTCTGATAAGGACAGTAATTAAGGGGGGGGGGGGTTTTAAGTGTAAGGAACCTAATCGTGCCACGTGGACGAATAGTCTCTTCACAAGATGCTAGTGGGCCACGTGTAAATTTCAATAATTTCTCTACAACCGCCCCAACTTTATGATATTTACAAAGACCCCCCCCCCCTCCCAAACCAATAATTATATTTTCCACTCATGAGTCCTAAGTCGAGAACTTCAAATTGGTAGATTTTTAACCCCGTTGAGGGTGGGACCCACAGCGTAGACACCATGCGCCAACCTCGACGCGTGTAAGAGCCAACGACAACCTCGGTGGGACCCCACGCGCGGGGTATATATATATATATATATATATATATATATATATTATATTGTGGTCCCCACTCACACGTTGCGGGGCCCGCCGATTTTATGCAAAAGTCCAACGCGAGTTCAAAAAAGTCGTACGGAGAGCATTGCGTGAAAGAGTCACGTGAGCATGTCCTGGGCCTACTTTTTTAGAAGCCCAATTAGGTCGCTTCTTATTTTCCTTTTTATTTAATATATTAAATTATATATAAAAAATTACACCCAAATTTTTTTTTTATATTATCCTAAAAATAAAATAATTAAAAAAAAATTAATTGAATATCACTAACTATATATATATATATTTACTGTTACTTTCACTTTTTACTTACAACAGTATGATTAACCAAACTTTGTAAGGGATCATTAATGACGCACTTTAATGTAAGTAGTCAATAATGTAATAATTTATTTACTCACATGTTCTTAAAATGTTGGAATCTTTTTAACCCTATGCAGTTTATTTTACATCAATTTTAAAAAAAAAATAGTTTTTTTTCTTTATCTTATTCATCAACGTGCAAAATTGATAAAATTATTGAGTCTAATAATTCATATAACACTAAGGTTCGTTAAATAGACACAGATAGGAGTAATCTCGCTATGTATGGCGCATAACAAACATATAAATAATTAAGTATGATGGTGTTCGTGGTCCTTAAGCTTGCGAGATGGTTGTTAATAGATGACCTTAAAAACTAGATCAATCTAATCTAATCCAATCCAATCCAATCCATACCGTTTGGGTTGGTTTAAATAATTGAAAATTTTATGAATTGGGTTTGTCCTCAACAACAATATCATCTATATGGTTCAGTATAACTCGTCTTTGTGATTTGTTATTATCTAGAGTTAAAAGAGGAACGTGGAAAGTTTTGTAATAGTCCAAACCCACCGCTAGCAAATATTGTCTTATTTGAGCTTTCTCTCTTGGGTTTCCCTCAAGATTTTTAAAACGTGTCTGATAGGAAGAGATTTACACACCCTTATAAAAAAAAATGTTTTATTTCCCTTTTCAACTGATATTGGATCTCACAATTTACTCTCCTTGGAAACTCAACGTTCTCGCTGACTGACACTTGTTTCTCTCTAATTGATGTGGGATCTAGAAATTAGAGAGAAAAGACATAAAATAGGACACGATGATAAGTAGAAATGATTTGGGCACCACTTTTTGATGGCAAGTTTGAAGACTTTCCCATAAGCAAAACGACACTAAATTTCATACCCCAATGTTCTTTTTCTTTCTTTAGCTCTCCAAAATAGTGCCTATCATAACCATTTTCTTCTACTCATTTGGATTCTTCCTCTTCGACCTCATCACTAACGCCCGCCTATGGTATACCTCGACATCTCGACTTTTTTCGAGAGGAGTTTCATATTTAATATGGTTTTATGAGTTGACCCAACCACAAAAACTTATCATACACGCAATACATCGATCCATCCATCCATCAATCATATATGTAGTTTCTAAAAACATCATACTTAAACATCGTAAGATCTCACATCAGTTGAAGAGGAGAACAAAACATTCTTTATAACAGTGTAAAAACCTCTCATAGCAGACATATTTTAAAACTTCGAGGAGAAACCCAGGAAGAAAAACCCAGAAAAAGACAATAGTAAACTTGAGCTGTTACAAACATACTCTTATCGGTCAATTCTCGAGTCAACTAATTCAGTACAAAATACGAACAAAAGTTGAGGGGCCTCGAAATAAGGTATTGAGTGAGTGATATTAGTCTTTTGTGGACCATGTTATGCATCATTGTCTCGGCCACTATCTACCAAAAGAAGCCTAGCTTCTACTTAATTCAATCAAAGGAGGCTACCAAAATGTTGTCCTTTTATTAATATACCTCCCACCATCAAATTTTCTACCTAAATTCAATTAATATTTATTTTTCTCAATTTATAATTATAATTATATATATATATATATATATATATATATATTATATAATTTTTACTAATTTTTATTATTATTATCTTCGAAAACAAATAATAATAATAAATATAATATATTAATCTACGGATAATTCAAATTTCTAATTGAGCGGTTAGGTTAGTTTTATTAAATATAGTATGAAAAAAAAAATTAAGTAATTATAAATACAAAATTATGAAAGATGATGGCGGTGAGATTTGGGCATATGATATGGAAATATACACGGCAGCAATTGGTCAGTCATCCCAAAATCAAACTCAAAGCGGTGATATTATCAAGATGGTGTGTGTTCGAAGCTTCGGAACAGCCGTCAGAATATTCCGACCATAGTGTTGGGATCAGCAGTGGTGTGAGTGACTCAAAGAACAGAGGTTAAAATATTATTAATTAACATTAGCCGACCGACAAGATAATTAACTTTCAAATCAAGTCCTTTTCACTTAATCTAATTAAATATTAATAATAATACATGATTATTAAAGTTAATTCATACTTGTCATTCTTATAATACTGTTCTTATTCATAACCCAATTAACAATAGGGTCTTGTCTTGTCACGTCTTTTTAATTAACATAATTAATAATTATTGTATGTTTCTTGAACTACTGAAATTATTATAAATAATTAGTTGAAAGTTGAGATAACCCTACTTTAATTCTCGTTTAAAGTGTTTCGAAAGTTAACATTTTTTTTTATAAGCACATAATTACGGTAGCTATGTGTAAATTCTTACATACTCAAAGATCGAGGGTGATGACACGTAGTTGATGCAACACATCACATTCAATCAATCCTCGGCGGTCTCATGGATCCAGCACAGTTTGAAAGGTTGATATGTTTAGGAATCTCTACATCTGCGTTTATTTTCAACTCTTGAAAGCATTTGTCGCTTACTATGTCTTCTTTGTCTCTAGGTGGGATTTTTAGAATTAGCTCACCCTTGCAAGATCACGACCTGTTGTCCTAGCCAAAGGGAACCCACTGGAGCCGTAGTGAAAGTGAGCCTTCACGGGACAATTGTTACTACTTATGGACCCGATTTGATTTGTTCAAAAATTTCAGTTTAATAGGTGTATAGATTTCGTTATGTTTCTCATTCATTCGACTCTTTTCAAGCCTGTTTGAGCGGAAATGAATGTTAGGGTAGGGAGGCAGTTGGTATGAGAAAAGGGTATTAGCAAGAGAGAGTGGGTGTCCTACATTAGAAGGGCCAGCAGCTGGTTGGCGTGTGTCCAACCACACAATGAAATTAAAAGGGAAATGAATGAAAGAGATATGATAAAGTTGGTAAAGCGTAGAGGACCTCTTTCTTTTTTATCTCCATGATTAGGCCTTAGTGGACATTGACATTTCCTCGTTTCTCTTACTATTCTTCCTCTATCTCTCTCTCAATGTCCCTTCCTACCTCTCTTTAATCGATGTGGGACTCTTAATCCACTCGTGTTCGAGGCCTCGCGTTCTTGCATGCACACCGCTCATGTCCACCTCCCGTTATCACATTACCTGATGTCAGGTTCTGATACCATTTGTAACGGCTCAAACCCACTTCTAGCATATATTGTTCTTTTCGGGTTTTTCCTTTCAAGTTTCACATCAACGTTTTTAAAACGCGTCTATAAAACATACTTCGCTCTCCTCCCCAACCAATGTGGGATCTCACAATCCACCTCCCTTTGAAGCCCACGTCCTTACTTGCACACTGTTCATGTCGCTGACTCATCACCAATGTCTAGCTCTAATACCATTATAATAGTCCAAGTCCACGACTAGAAGATATTGTCTTTTCTAGATTTTCACTAAAGTTTTTAAAACGCGACGGCTCGGGAGAGATTTTCACACCCTTCTAAATAATATTTCGTTATCCTCTTCAACCGACGTGGGA